GGTTCATTTTTTAAATCAATAATGCATTAATGTTGCAATAACTTGATCAATTTCTGATGATAAACTAGTTGTGTAAATTTCTGTGCAAAAGCTAGGTGGTTGAAACTCATCAACACAATACATTATTCTCTCGTTTTATTTTAATTTTAATTAAGACACTAAAATCAACATGAAGATATCGTTTGTACGAGATAAAATCTCAAAAGTTGTTCAGCTTAAAAAGCTACCAATAAATGCTAAAGGGTAAAGATTGGTGATTATTTTTATTTACCAAAGTAAAGAAGAAAAAAGTACCGGCTGAGTGCCAACAAGGCACACAGAACCAGAATGTTGTCGTCCTTTGTCCTCTGTCCTCTGTTCTGACACAACACAAGTAGGTACGTACGGTACATTGTGCTGTGCGGTAGAAGATTACTTCTCGCTCCTCACCAAGGACGACCACCGCGTGTGTCATCAGCGTCACCCTCTGCCAGCTTTGACTGGGTTTTTTGGGGTCGTACTCAAAATTAACAACAGTTTCTTCTAAATTCTCTAATTTCGCGTGACCCTCTGCCGTCGGCTACACGTTTTATCTATTATTCTCCACATGTGTTCCGTGCAGCCACGCCTTATACCACTCCCTCACGCGGGAGGAACTAGTACAAGGGCTACAGTAGGGTATAGCCGAGTGAGGTTTTTGAGACCCATTAGAGCACTTTCAGCAGTGAACCTTTTGCCATGGTGGGGGTAGGGCAGTTAGTATTCATGTGAATTGTGGCTGCCCTTGCAAAAGGTTGTGGTGTTTCCACCAATTGCCATGGCAACACTATTCACATGAGATATGATGAGAGAAATTTGTATAGGTTTTTGGTGTTGGAAGTGAAAACTATGACTAAGTATTTATTGAAAAAAAAATCTGAAACTTTTTGTATTTTTTTTCGATTTTTGTTGTTACTGACGTCATCAAATTCGGCCGCTCATCTTGCCTAAGGGCTGGCTTGGTTTCGTGGCCCCAGCAGCTGCCTCCCCGCAGCCCTTGCTACTAGAAACGTTTTTGGGCCTAAACACCCCCCCCCCCTCAGCCCTTGTTGCTGGAACTGCTCTTAGTGGTTTGGATTTATCCTTATCCAAGGTTCGATTTTCCCACTTCTAATATCATTTGTATCCGAAGACTTTTTATATAAAATAAAATAAGTTAATTGAGCTATAAATTAGTGTGGTTTATAAAAAATTCATGGTTCCACCCTTGCATTTCCTCGATTAATTGTCTCAATTTATGGAGAAAAAAACTATGGTGCCACGGTGGCAATGCTTCATTCTCTTGATTTGTCTTTTTATTTATTAATACAAGCGATAGTCTAAACTACAAAGGGGAGGCGGTTTCTCTCACACACACTATCAATGTGCTATGAGGGTTCGAACATGACTAATCTGCAAGTCAATGTCCTTTTTCACTGGATTAGACCACGTTGGGTGATCTGTCTTCTTACGTTAACTTGCAAGTTATTTCCAAATTCCTTCTCTTAATCCTCATTTAAATATCCATTCAAATCAATTTTGTGTCAAATAATCTCAACACTTTCATATTCATTTCATTTTGTATCACGACGTATATTATCGTGTCCCTGTTACATACGTATTACAACATATTTAATTATAATTAGCACATGTGATTTGGTTTTTCATTGGAAAAAATAAAAAGTTAGCCACGATAATATGCACGATACATTGTGATTTGTGACCAAAGAAAAACATTTAGGTTAAACATTGAGCATATAGTTTTGTATTTTAAACTAAAGTTAACAACATTGAACAATGTTTGGAAGCAATGTAAATCATTCACTAACAACGCATGGATGGCTTAAAATATTGCAAATATGGTTTTATTTTGGTTTAAAATAATAAAATACCATAATTCTCCCTAACGTGAGAGTTGGGGAATATTGTCAACTATAGCACAACAAAGATTTTTAAAAAGAAGATAAAATATTTCCCAAATTGTTTTTTGAGGACTGCCCAATGCATGTAATAATAATTAAGAAATTATATTAGATTATACTAATATTTATGACAAAAGTCAATATGGACGTTCGGATATCCAAATGTGATGCGAAATTCTTCTTGTCGTTGCTTCCAATTTGATCACTTTGTCTTTAGCTTGTATTATTCAATCTGTGCATGCTCCCACGTCGCTCTCTGAATTGAGTTTTGATGTGAAATGTGTAAATTGTGAATTCACCACTGTCCAAAAAGCACAAATCATGAGTTCTTTTTACTGTGATTGTTTTTGAATAGATAAGGTAGGTTAAAATTTGGAATCTCTTCTAACATTAGGAAGAGAAGTAGCGTTATAAATCAACATTGTAATTTGAAAGTAGTTTTTTTTTAAAAAAAATTATAAAAGTAGTGATGATAGTAGTTTATATTAGTAGCAAATTCAATAATTCACACTAATTATATTGGATGAGGTCTCGAGTGCACGACTAAATACTCGCAATCACTTAAGTTTCAAGTTCCTTACAAACTTATTATACATAAATTAACAAAATCTTATTTGTTGGTTAGTAGCCTAGGCCTAGAGAAGTTCTTCCTCGGATGCCAAATCTTCTGGTATCAAAATAATGTTATATGCCATTTGGTTGTAAAGATTTGATATTCTTTCGGTGATCCCCCAAATCCAATAATAATAAAAAAACCCAAATATCCAAAAACAAAAATCAATCATCAAATGATTTAGAAGATGAGAATATTTTTCCTGTTGGGGGGGAATAAGTAAAAGTTGATCGTGGAACCAGATTATGATTAGTACATTAACTCAGACTCAAAGATATGGTGGATATGGTCAATATTGCTACTATTTACACGTGTACCCAATTAGTAAAAATATTTACTTTGTTTTTATTTAATCTCGGACGCGAAATAGTGATAAGAAATTTCTCATGAAATAAATAGGACCAATTCGTAATCAAGACTTTCGGAAAATAGAAGCTTCTAACATTTACCCCAAACAGATTTAAGCATTTTAATCAAGACAAATCAACTTTTTGACAAATCGTAATCAAGGAGATTATCATCTAATAATTGGATTTAGGGATGAAATTTTCTTCCCTTTAGGATTCTGTAGGTTGAATTTTCACGCGAGCAATTTCCTTGATGTCAACCTAGACCCCAGAAATCTACAGTAATTTTTTAAAAACTCTTTTACCTCTTTTTATCCTTTTGGCTTGCAAGCTATATGACCGAGCTTCTGCATCTACAGTTAGTTAGGTTTGATTTGATCATTGAACTCTCTTATTTTCTTTGTCAAAACGAGCGTTATATACGTGTCGTGGGTGCAAATGATAATAGTGTGTTGAAAACGTGGTGCCACAATCAATGTTGTCAATTAATTGTGTAATCAACAAGATTGTTTACAATAATCTACTCCCATGTTTTGCAAATGATAAAAAAGTACCGTGTATATGTACACCTTTTTTGTAAATGTAACCAAACTAAGATTTCTTAACCCTAGATTTCACTCCTCTTGAAACTCGTAGTTAAATAGATTGGCTAACTATAATGTTCATCAATCCCAAGATTGGCTTTAGATGAAGACTCTTTACCAAAGTTTAGCCAAACTAGCTAATAAGAGGGATTTATTGTTGTTGCTCTTAAGGATGAAATTTGGTTATTGAGTGTCTAGACCAACTAATTCATTATTATGGGCATGAGAACATAAATCTTAGTTTAGTTTACTTATTATTTATTCAACCGTCAAGATCATAAATGTAAACAACTAAATGCATTGAGTTTTTCTTTTTAGTACAAGCGATAGTTTAAATTACAAGGGAGTGAATTTCTTACACGCATAATTAAATGCATTGATGTTTAATAAATGGAAAATGCAATGGGGACAACAAATGAGATAAGCTTAACAAAAAATGGATAGATCAATAACACCATAGTACCAAATTAGACCCTTTGTCATTTAATCAAAGTGATTTAAACTTCCAACATTTTTCATTTTTACTTGCTCTGTAACTTGAACGAAAAAAGAGAGTGAAGGGGTTGTAACTTGTAACTATCTCAAAAATCTAGGTTTTTTTTTTGGTACGAAAAGAGAGAAAGATAGATTGAATATCATCTTCATGCGATACAATTGTACAACCAACTCTTTTGATTTGGCTACAATGTACCCACCTAAAACCACCTAAAATGTTCAAAATAAAATTCGATGAACTAATAAATAAGCATTGATTAGCACTATTTTTAACCAGTCATTAAATTTAATCCAACAACTTGTATGGTATTATATCGCATTGGATTAGACATAGACATGAATAAGCATCTAATTACATTGCCTTAGGCATTCAGATGTGTTCATGGGCATCTAATTTTAGGCCTTTTTTACAAGGTACTTGTAATTTTAAATTAAAAAGTTATCGAATCAATTTCATTATATAAAAAAAAACAAAAAACAAAAAACAAAATAAAGAAGTTTCCAATACATAAGAAAAGTACCCAAACGCCAGCGCAATTGCTAAGTACCAAGTCAAAGACGTGAAAGCCATTAACCATCCCTCGTCAAACATCCAAACACCCCCGCCACTCACTAACCACTCCCTCCCCAACACGCGTCCCCAGACGCGTTTCCCACGTGTCGCTCTCCCACCACCAGGCCGGCGGCCCTCTCCACCTTAAGCCCTCCCTCCTCCCCGCACCCAATCCCACCCCATCCTCAAGAGAGAGAAAGTCACAACTCATCACAGACACAGTGGCCCAACCGCCTCATATTTTTTTTTTAAAACGGAGAGAGAAGAGAGTTGTTTGTATTGACCGCTCCGTCACCGTCGCTCCCTCCGAAACCCCAACTCCTTCCTTCCTCTTTATAACCGTTTCTCCCATTTTCACGCGAAACTCGCTTTATCCGTTTCGCTCTCTCTCCTCAATCCCAATTCCCAACGCAAATTGCTGAAAGTTAAAAATTAAAAATCTAGGCCCAACCGCCTCATATTTTTTTTTAAAACGGAGAGAGAAGAGAGTTGTTTGTATTGACCGCTCCGTCACCGTCGCTCCCTCCGAAACCCCAACTCCTTCCTTCCTCTTTATAACCGTTTCTCCCATTTTCACGCGAAACTCGCTTTATCCGTTTCGCTCTCTCTCCTCAATCCCAATTCCCAACGCAAATTGCTGAAAGTTAAAAATTAAAAATCTAAATGAAACCCCTAACAATAATCCCAACCGCAACCGTAACTGCCGCCGTTCTCTGCCACCACGTCAGCACCACGGCCCGAACCCAATTCCAGCATTCCCCAACTCTTTCCGTATAATTCCATATGCATCCCTTCTGCTGTGTCTCCACGCTTTCCGATCACTCCTCGGACCTCCACATGTCCTCCTTCGGCTCCAGATCCGACACGCACATCCGCCCTGCGAAACTCGACCCGAATAGCAATCACAGCAACAGCTTCACCCATTCCACCGCCGACTACGGCCGCCTCAGCCAGCGGACTACGGCGGCAGCGGCCGCGGCAGCCGTCGCAGCCGCAGAGGTTGTGGCTCGGCCGCCCTCGGCTCGGGAGCAGCCTGTAGACGTCAAGATAAACGACATCGTCGGGAATGGCGTTTCGGGGATTCTGTACAAGTGGGTGAATTACGGCAAGGGGTGGCGGCCGAGGTGGTTCGTGTTGCAGGATGGAGTGTTGTCGTATTATAAGATTCATGGCCCCGATAGGATTGTCGTTAGCGTTGAGACCGAGAAAGGCTCGAAAGTCATCGGCGAAGAATCGATGCGGAGGATTTCGAGGCACAGGAGGAATGGTACTCCTCACCAGCTTCGTCGCAAGCCCTTCGGCGAAGTCCATCTCAAGGTTCTCAGCTTCTCTTGATTTTCATTTTCGTTTCTTGGCTTCAAAATTTTCATTTCTGTTTATACGTTTTGATTCATTTCTTCGTCGATTATCAAGAATTAGAAGTATATGATTTCTCTCTATTTAAATCTTTTTTTCATTTCGTTTCCTATTTTAATTTTAATCGGATTTCTAAAGTGATCGGCATTTTCCTCGTTGGTCGTATATTTTTTAAATCTTTTAAATTTAGTATTTGATTAGATGAGATTTTAATTTGATTAAATTCTGCACAATTTTGTTTTATTTTATTATTTGTGGTTGATTCTAATCTAATTTTGTGATTTGATGAACTCATTCACAGGTTTCGAGCATCCGCGAAAGCAAATCAGATGATAAGAGATTCTCGATCTTCACAGGCACCAAGAGGCTGCATTTGCGGGCAGAGTCGCGAGAAGATCGATACGCGTGGGTGGAAGCATTGCAGGCCGTGAAAGACATGTTCCCGCGGATTTCTAACAGTGAGTTGATGGCTCCGGTGGACAATGTCGCTGTTTCAACCGAGAAACTGAGGCAGCGACTTGTGGAAGAAGGTGTGACGGATGCAGCCATTCAGGACAGTGAACAGATAATGAGGACTGAGTTTGCAGCGCTACAGAACCAGCTCCTACTGCTCAAGCAGAAGCAGTGGCTCTTAATCGACACGCTGCGACAGTTAGAGGTATGGAAACCTTATGCCCGTTGAAATTCGGAGTCTTCTTCTTTGGTTTCCTACCATGCAGAAATTCTTTTTTTTTTCTTCTTAAAACCACCAAGTAAATTGCTAGGAGGCTGTTGGCGTAGTGTGTTTCAGCTTTGTGGAGTAGTCATTTGTTGTGATTCGTTTGTGCAGAATGGGAGATAGAGGCTATTTTTTCTTTCTCAAAAGTTTGTAAATTTTTTAAATATAATCAATCTTATTAATTGTGTTTTTGTTGTCTTTTGGCTTGAGTGATGTGAGTGTTAATCGAAGTACATTATTTAGTATAAGTGCCTTAATTTAAAGGAATCACGGCAAGGTCACTAGACCAGAAGATGGCACGGATCCTGTACAAACCAGATCATTCTTGTTTAGTTTCCGTCCCTACTATTATGAAAAATTTAAAAACCGTCCAAATGACTAAAAGTTGGTCAATTCTAATTATATATTTTCTAGATTTTTTGTCTGAAAATCGACGTGGGCTGAGAGTCTTTAGTATAGACCTGTGGTTTTCTCTCTGGGATTTTCTTGTGGCATGGGTAATGCGATTATGTGTTCAAGGACTGATGAACTATTTTAAACAGGTCAAAGTAGTATCCTTCCACAGTTTCAGTAATATTAGGATGTTTATGGGTTTTTGAAGGCTAAATGTGGAGTGTTTAAATGACGCCACATCAACTTTATGGTGGTTGTTGTTAGTTCTTTTCAGATTGCTGAAAAGCACTAACTTTAATGAGTGTTGAAGAGTTATTTCATTTAGGGCAATCTGAATATTATTTGGCATCCATGTTTTCTTGTTTTGACAAGTGATATCTTGCAGTATTGTCTTTGCATGAAGCACGGTCTCTCGTAGATTTATGCTACATCCTGTTTCTTTGGTGGTCTATGTTTTGGAATAAGCTGATTTCATTGGAAAACAGGAGTTGATGATCTGTATATGCGTCTGGATCATATTAATTTCGTGTATTGAAAGACCACCTCTCTGTATGGGGTTTCTACCAGGACACATATTGTAGTTGCATTCTCAAATTTCACCTGTCTTTTTTTATACCACACTTGACAAGTAAGCCAGTCACCATTTCTGTCTCTTCTTACCACTTTCATAGCCATTTCGTTACCTTCTTGACTGTTTACCTAATAGCTTTGTTGAGGTCAAGACTGACTAATGTTCCTGACTGAGTGCGAGGCTTCACTTCATCTAACATCAATATGTTTGAGGATTAAAAAGTACTTTCATCAAATCGAAAATGCTTTAGAAGACTAACCCACTTTCCCCATACCCCACTTTCACAATATTAGCACCTGTAAAACTACCCCACTTACTCTTTAAAAAGGGCATATATCATTGAATGTCGGAGCGATCTTACACACATACGCCAGTATATCATTGAATGAGAAAAGTAAAGAAAATGTCTTCATTACCTAAAAGAAAGAGAGGTGGACTAATGACATTTTAATAGATGCCAAAAAAGGGACACTAGATAATTGTACAATGCTGCTCATCTCACTCATGTATATAAGCATTTTTTTAATGAGGTATCTTTTGTTCATACAAAGGTTGCTTCCTTAAGAGTTTTAACTTCTGGTGCGGGGATTTTATTCCTCATTTACTTATTTGTTTCTTGCTAATAAAATAGCTATTTATACTGTATTGTGTAGACAGAAAAGGTAGATTTGGAGAATACAGTGGTTGATGAGAGCCGTCAGTTGAAAGATGGTGGGGCTTCTGCTAGATCAAGGCAAGACAAATTCAGTGGTAAGCATTGAGGTAGAAGTTTAACAACACGTATTTCTTGTTACCTGTAACAAGTTATATATGTTACTTAAATTGCCTTTCTTCCAACCTCTCTTTGCATTTGTAATATTAGAATGTGCCAGACTCTATGCCATTTGAAATGATGTATTCTAATATTTTCTCTAGGTTTTACATCATACTTCCTTATGCTAATTTAATCCTGCATTGGTATTAATTTTTCAGAAGGAAGTGCAAGTGACTCTGACGAGGATAATGGAAGAGTTGATGATGCTGCAGAGGAAGAAACAGATGAAGAGGACAATGCTTTCTTTGATACTCGTGATTTTCTTTCATCAAGTTCTTTCAAAAGTAATGGGTCCGAATATCGGATATCATCTGTCTCTTCAGATGATGAAGGGATAAATGCCATTGAATCAGAAGATGGTATCGATCCATCCATGAGATCAGTTGGAGCTAACTTTCCTTTCATCAAGCGGCGTAAGAAATTGCCTGACCCTGTTGAAAAAGAGAAGAGTGTCAGTCTTTGGTCAATGATTAAGGATAACATTGGGAAGGATCTCACAAAAATCTGTCTTCCTGTATACTTTAATGAGCCTCTGTCTACTCTACAAAAAGGTTTTGAGGATTTGGAATACTCATACCTCCTTGATCGAGCTTATGAATGGGGTAAAAGGGTAAGACCTCAAAGCCATCCCCATTGCAATGATAGTCTCCTCCCAACAATAGCTTTCTTAAATGTGTTAGATTAGCACAGTGCTCTCTTAACTTATTTTTGGCTTTCCTTGAAGCCTTGCAGGGTAATAGTCTTATGAGGATTCTTAATGTGGCTGCTTTTGCGGTTTCTGGATATGCATCAACTGAAGGAAGGATTTGCAAGCCATTCAATCCATTATTGGGGGAAACATTTGAGGCTGACTATCCAGACAAAGGCCTCCGGTTTTTCTCAGAGAAGGTGTGAAAAAGTCTTAGACCTGAACTTTTAAGTTATCTTATCACAATCAATCTCATATACTATTCTCGTGTAGACCTTCTGTTCTGTTTGAGTATATTTACATTCTGAGAATTAGGCCACATGATGCTGTCCTATTGGGGTGGACAAGATTAATATATTCAGCTGAGTGGTGCATTTATCAAGTATTTCATACCAAAATACGCTTGGATTGTGACACCCAAACATGATCGTAAAGAATCTTACTTGGTCAATGAGAACATTGAATCTTGAAGTTAACATCACCATTTGATCAATGATGAACAATTTTTAACTTTTGATATGCAGTTGTGGGAAGAGAAAAGTATTGTCACCCAGTGAAGCTAGTTTCAGATTTTACAAAAAAGGTTTAAGTTGATTTTGATTAAATATAAATCAAAACATCCATTTATTGAGATTTGAAAGTTTGAAACTCCCAAGACAGCCTGAATTCTGAATAGGTAATCTGATAAATGAGAAAGGTATGATGTGTCGGAAAGAAATGAGCCTTGTTTGAGCAGAGAGGTGAAGTAACTATAAGAAAACCCAGGTGGTGCGGGAGATATTTGTGGTAGTCCCTATGAAAAAAATATTAGGCATCCTTGTTATATGGTGTATGTGGAAGAATCTAAGCATATGACTAACTAAATTTTATTCACCGACTTTTGTCCTTAGGGTGCAACCTTTGTATATTTAATCGATTTAAAATTCCCATTGTTGTTCTTTTTCTACTATGTATCAAATAGTAAAGGTTATTATATTTTGGGTGTCAGGTTAGTCATCATCCCATGATTATTGCTTGCCACTGTGCGGGTAAAGGATGGAAATTCTGGGGAGACAGCAATTTGAAGAGTAAATTCTGGGGTCGCTCAATTCAGCTTGATCCTGTTGGTGTTCTGACCTTGGAATTTGATGATGGGGAAGTTCTTCAATGGAGTAAAGTACGTACCCAACAACTCAGGGATTGTGTTCATTATTTTCTAAGTTCATGTCTAAAAGTGAACTCTTTTTGGCCAGGTTACGACATCCATTTACAACCTCATTTTGGGAAAGCTGTACTGTGATCACTATGGTACGATGCGAATACAGGGAAAGCATGAGTTTTCATGTAAGCTGAAATTTAAGGAGCAGTCTATCATTGACCGAAATCCTCACCAGGTACTATTTTCTTTTTCAATTGTATTTCATTTAAGTTGATCACGCCAGCATGTTATTAATTGAAGCAGGAAAAAATTTTGCTTCTAGCTTTTGCAGTATTTCAGACAACTTTGAATCTGCAGAGAGAATATGATTACTAAATGGTTTTGATATATAATTTTTTTTTTTTAGGATAGACTAATGTTGGTGTTTCTGTAAATTTATTTCAAAATTTAAGTTAAAACTTAAATTGGGTTTTAGAAGGCTGTAATTTTCAAAGTAGAGAACAATGGTGTGTGATATTATGATTTTATGCTCGGGGAACTGAAGAAACAAATGATAAGAAACACCGTCAGCAATTTGTGAAAGCGAACTTAAGTTTCAGTACATGCCCAATTTGGTAACTGAGAACCGCTTTATTCAGAAAGGAGAAATGACTGAAGAGTTGCCTTGTGAGTTGTGAGTTGTGTCAGACAGTCCTGTCTTTTCTTTTTCCTTATCAGGTTGGGAAAAATGGGTGGACATTTTGCAGTTCACCTCATTTTACCTCCTTTCTTCATACAGAAATACTGTTTTTGAAAATGTTTAGGAAATTAAAGGAAAAAGACATGAATCTTTTATCAAAAAGAATGGAACACGACATGATATCTGTTCTGTAGCAGTTATTGATTAGTTTATAAAATCTTCTAATTACTTGTATGTTTTCCGCTTTTCTCCATTAGGTACATGGTATAGTTCAAGATAGGAATGGGAAAACGGTAGCAACAATGTTCGGAAAATGGGATGAGAGCATGCACTTTGTGAATGGAGACTGTTCAGGGAAGGGAAAAGGATCTGATTCTTTATCTGAAGCCTGCCTGCTCTGGAAGAGGAACAAGCCACCCAAGTTTCCAACCAGATATAACTTAACACGCTTTGCCATCACAATGAATGAACTCACCCCTGGACTTAAGGTAATTATTTTGATGAGTCTGTTCCTTAGTTTGATCTATCTTGTGTAGATGTTGGTGGTATGGAATGTACGGTTTGAAACGATGACTGCTAGCAGTTTATGATTCTTCAAGTTTAATGACATGCAGGAGAAGTTGCCCCCAACAGATTCAAGGCTCAGACCCGATCAAAGGTATCTGGAAAATGGGGAGTATGAAATGGCAAATGCAGAGAAGTTGAGGCTAGAGCAGAGGCAACGGCAGGTAATATTGCATTTTTGAATATATAAGTATCAACATTTTTTTTGTAGTTGTGTTTTGCATCTTTTCCATGTCATTAACTCCGCATATAAGCACCTGCAAACTTTGAGGAGTCAGTTTAAGCTTCTTGCAACAATGGTATTTATTGGTTTGTTGTAATTGACGGAATGCTGCTTTGATCGGGATTCAGGCTCGAAAGATGCAAGAGCAGGGTTGGAGGCCGCAGTGGTTTGCAAAGGATAAAGGAAGCGACACATACCAGTACATCGGTGGATATTGGGAGGCAAGAGAAAAAGGACATTGGGATTCATGTCCTGACATTTTTGGCCAAGTCCCTTGTGAACCGCTACTTGAGTAAAAAGTTACATTGCCCTTGTGGTTTACTAATTCTTTTTTCATTTTTTTTACTCAATGGGGTGGTGAATACTGCTGATTGATTGCAAGCAGGTGAAAAAGGGTACCCCATGATTTGCATATAAAGTAAATTGAATGAAAGGTCTTGCCAGTCAATAAAATGAAATTCTTTCACATTGTCTCTTTTTATATCTTCTTATACGATTTGAGTTGGGTTAAGTTGAGAGCTGGTGGTTTCTTCCTAGCATTCAAGTAAATCCGAAACCAAAACAAAAAGAAGATCTCTTTCATATGGGCTTGATATGGCAGTCCTCAGTCTGATCTTCGTCGGAGGCCCAAATATTGGTTTGGTTTGGGCTTTGAATTTGCAATGGACTACCAGAATCTTTAACATCAAATAATGAGGGATAAATTAACTTAAGAGGGGAGTGAGATTCCAACTTGAGATCTCTTCTAACGTTAAGGAGAGATCTAGTATTAGATCAGAAGCTAGTTTGATTCTATGAATCTTGTTTTGAGTTTTGACAAGTGCATATAAAACCGCCCCTAAAATTTACTTGAAAGTAACCAAAAATATACTAACGAAGTAAATTTCTACAATTGGATCAACGGATTCACTACTAAATCGATGGATTCATCCTTTTCTATTATGATTTAGATTTATCGTAAACTGTTACGACATTTTATTAAGGGTTAGATTTATCATAAGCCATTAAGATTACATATCTTATTGAATGAGAGTTCAAACTATAGATATACTCTTATATTAGATTATGTATAATGTCGTGAACCACGTAATAAAATAACGAAATAATGTGCAGACACATCATATTCAGCTCACGTTTAGACAGGTTGGCTTGGATCCAATTATATCAACAAACTCACATACTTTCTGTCTGCTATTGAGTAGTTGATTCAATTATCCTTCAACTGTCCTCCCATATATGGTCGGTTTGTTCAATCTACTTTCAAGTTTTGTAGCTCAAAATACCTACTATTTTAGAGCTACTACAAAATCATCAAATCTTGTATAGGTCCTTAGACCCACCTGTATTTTCATATCGTATGATATTAAGTAACATATGAAGCAATAATCTCTTTTTTTAATCAACGAAAAATGGAGCAGTTTTTATTTGTTTAGTTTCATGCATTCTTTATTCTTACTTCTCTACTCACTTGACATGCATCGTGTTAGGATTTACGCAGAAACGAGGGGTGCATGCTCATGAGGCAACAAAGTCTTTCTCGAGTAAACGTGAATTTGAAAGCTCTTTCAATTTTGAAAAGAAAAATACAAGCCGATTAAGTGTTAATTTATCATATAATAATCATTAGTAACGTTTATTCATGCACCCGAAGTCCTATCTTCGATTCGTCAATTTATAAATAAAATAAAATAAAAAGTAGATCTTCAACATCATTGAAGTTATACTCTTGTAATCTGACACTAGGAGATGCTCACCTTATGGGGTAATGGATGGATGGACGGGTGACCCATCGTATCGTACCCTAAATCCCCACAGCCAGCAGCATTCTCTTCTCACTTAGCCGTCCAATCAATCCTGACCGTTCAAATTTCATTTGTCTGAGAAGATAGACATTTGGACAGGGACCCCATCTGTACCAATCACCCTGTCACCAGCCCAACAACAAACAAACCAAAACCCCAAGTCTGCTCCGACTTCATTTTTGATTGCTGTGAAGACAAAAAGAAGACGTATCAGATTGGGAATTAATTAATTTTAAATTAAATTTTTAAGAAACAAAAAAATATGGTTTTGGACTGGTCAGTGAAGGTTTTTTTCAACATAGTTTTCAAAACCCTTCCACCCGGCAGAATCTTGGGCTTTCTTTTATTGCATTGTGAAATCGCTGCCCTCTGCTGCAGAGATGAAGCAAACGAGGCCGTTTTTTGTCATGTCATGTCATATTTTTTTATCATCAAAATACTTTCAAGACGTTACTTGTTTTGTTTATTTGACATGCTGCAGCTGCTGCTCTCTGCTTTTCTTTCTTGTAAGTTGTGACTATTTTTTATTCACTGTTTGGCTCGTTGGGTTTTCAGCTTCTTATGCTTCCTTTAACCCAATCTTCAATTACCGGCCAACATTCTTCCCTGCATAACATGCACAATGTATAAGATAATCTTCTCCGGCGTGAGAGTTTTGATGCAAATCAATAGATTGAAACGAGGAATCATTCAAATTAGCATTGTAATAACATAACATCTCAAACGGTGAATTATTCAAATAAGAAGTTCTAGTTTCACGATTTATCTTTACATAATAATACTGCACTTATTTCGTATGAATATACATATTTTTCCACTTCTGAATAAAAACTGACAAATTTTATGGTCGCTTAAGTTTTCAAAACTTGTGGATAGACCAACATTCAAACACTTGTAGTATTGTCAAAATCAACATTAATTTAATGATAACAAAATCTATCGATGATAGTGATTATGAAAATCCTTCAGTACGTACTCACACAATAAACCCTTTTTGTTTTACATACCCATATTTGGGCCTCTGTTCTCAAACCCCACAAAACGTCCAGCGCAAGTGAAATGAAAGGTGAGTTTTTGGGATCATTGAACAAAAGAAAATTGTACTACCCCCCGCTAACAGAAAAACTTTTATGAAACGTACGGGGATAGCACTGTTTTGTTATACCCAACGAATCACGTTATACCAAATAGAAAAGTTATTACCTCAATAATGCCACCATTTTTTTATCAACACTTTTAAATACCAAATTATAATAGGTGTAAAGAGTGACTTTCTACTAAGCACTGAGTTGTCTGCCAGAGTTTTTACCTCAATAATGCCACCATTGATTTAGTTACAAGACAAAATATTCCAACTGAGGATGAGGAAGGCTGCTAGGGTTTTGCTTGTTCTTGCTTATTTTCATTTAGATGATGAGAGAATTTTAGCTCAACTTTCTCTTTGGAGCCAAAACGACAACCAAAAGTGCTGAGTTGCTTTTGCTTCTACAGAAACAGAACAGCCAATGTTGCATTGCCTAGTCTGGCTGATGTGTAGATTTTGAGGCAGTCAAAATCTACAGCTAATTTGGGCTGGGATTTTGGGAAGGAGTTTGGGATGACTTTTGCCCAGGATTTGAGTTTTAGCCTCTTACACCAAACCCAGCCCATGTACAATATTCTTCTTCTTCCTTTTTGGCTATTGAATTTAAGAGAAAAGGAGGAGAGGGGTCCCTATGGATCAAATTTTCCTTTTTGGGATGACTTTTGTTCATAATATATGATGCATGGGAAAATTTACATTCTTCTATTCTATAAGATCTCATGTAATTCCTAATGATATTGTAATATTTGTGCCCAAATATACTACATTCCATTACAAAAAAATTGTTAAAAAAGTGTCAAATGAAATGAGTGCCCCAAGATGCCACTTTTTAAACCTAGTTGTTTGCCCCAAGATCACTCTAGCCATGGACAGAACTAGGATTGTATGTGTGGAGGGTTCTGAATTATAACACGAGTTCTTAAAAGGAAAATTCAATCTTACAACAATAAAGAATAGACTGAAAGAAGGACTTTGGTCTTGATTATGGAGGATTAATAGGCTGAAATGGTTGTACTTTCCTCTCTTATTTTTTTTCCTATAAACATTTACTATATAATTGTTAATAAAATTATTATGAAATGGCTCTAAGGTTTGCATTTAACCACCTACTACTAGTAATTGCAATGGGGGTTATTTACCCACAACAACAAAAAGGTATTGCATTTGGGGAGCCACTAAAGTGGTTGTATGATTTATCCTTCCTCAAAACACGATGTGCAACCCGTACTGCAGTGTATGGGGAAAAAATTGTGAGGGGGGGGGGGCAGGGCTAAGGCCCTAGCTTGGCTCCTCCCTCTAGTCCCAAAAATAGGTCAGGAGATAATTGTGCGAGTGTGCCATCATTAACATTATAAATAGCCTAATAGAAAGGTTTAAGTGATTAAGAATTCATGTATTTGAGGTCATGTGTTCTCGTATGTTCGAATCCACCGTCCCAATATTCCTTATATAGGATTACATAACAAAACAAAAAAACTTGGGAATTTTGAACATAAAATTCAGCTAATATTATTTTGATAATGTTCAAGTGATTATTCATAAGTGATAATAGGCCAACATAATAAGCTAATAATACACTTAGAGACTTTTTTTTAAAAAAAAGGAAAAAAAAACATTTGATTTGAGTGTGCAGCAGCTGGGTTCCAAATCCAAAAAGGCTTACTCTCGCAAACAAAAGATTCTTCTTGGATTGAATGAAGTGGTCTGACGACCACAAACACATCGTGAGTGAGTGAGTGAGTGAGTGATGACATTGTTGCAATCTTCTATTTCCCAATCACATTCACACGGCATGATCTCACCGCCCACGCATCTCAAGTTTACTTATCTCTCTCGAATGAATACTTGAATTATTTCCATTTCTAATTTCTTTTTACACTTACTAAAATATAAGAAATCAAAAAATATGCGAGTTTCACTTCACAACACATAAATTCAAATAATTGATCTCATCCTCATATCTCTCTACCTTTTTTTTTTCAATTCATAATTTCTCAAATTCTAAATAAAACTTAACAAATCATTATCAACAACTTTATGCATGTGCTAACATTCATAAATAACCATCAAATTCAATTGATTGTTGTTTTCTTGATTAGGATGTTTAACAAGGGAAGTTTTTTTTTTTTTCCCGAAAAAGGGGGGTTAACACCCCAAAAGCAAACTAAACAGACTAAGAACAAATCAAATGGGTTCGAGACACCCCTAAACGAAATCTTAAACAACATCAATAATATGTATTATATGGAACTCAATGAAACAAACCAAGAAAAAAAACTTATTGGTTTTATATATATATATATAAATTATATGGATCCAACATAGTATAATTGTGCATTATTGGTCGATGTAGATATCTCCTTGGCAAATAGAAGGAGAGAATGATATAGTTGTTCTGAGAATGATATACTCCGAGTCGTGCATTATTGGTCAATGTATATATAATGTTGAACTAATGATGGAATACGAGAATGATAGCTTGATGAATTTGGTTGTCCTATTATTCATATTGAATATATATTGTGAATTAATTCATTTGTAGACAAAATGCTTCAATTAAACAATCTGAATGGCAAATCAAAATCCTCAAAGTGTCTTTCTTGCATTATTTCAAAGTTGAATTTCTATTGAGTAGATCATACAAAAACTTAACTTTATTTTTAATATGCATTGTCATTTTGAAAGATATAGTTAGGCATAAATTATAGGGAAAGTCGTCATGGCATTGTGAATTATAATTAATAATAATAAAAATCACTGTCATGGATGGATGTTTAGACACCGACATTAAGGGCCTAATATATCCCATAAGTGCTTGTTTATAAATAATTTTTTGTAGTTTGGTTTAATATTTGCATGCATATATATTATATATTATATATTATAGGGTTCAATTCAATCCATGATATCATCATTTTAAACAATTTTTATTAATTTTCTGTTGAGGGTTTTCTTATTGTTTCCTTCTTGTAACGGAAATCGGCAAAGCTGGAGGAACCCCAGACCTTTGTCCATATGTGAGGAGTTGGCCTCTCCTCAAGGTGGCAAGTGGCAACCAGACACCATTCTAGCATGAACACACTAATTGAGAAATAATCATATCTATATCATAATATTTGTATTCATTAATCAAGTATATTTTGCTTGTAGTTATAACAACCCAAGTAACTAATGGTTAGGGAGGGGGGTGAGTGACAAGTTAAAATATAGTAAGTAGGGGTTGAGAATCGTGCTCGGAACTCGAGTTCACTAGACTCTAAAAGTTTACAGAGAATGAACTAACAATGTATATCAAACTATTAATCATGACTTTTAATCCAATTTAGTGATGATAAGAGAGTTTGACTCTAGTTCTCTCGGCCACTCGTTTGATATAACAAAATACGGCGGTTTATATACATATAATTGCTACATTTTTCCTAAAACAAAATTTTGACAATATTTTTATTTTTATTTTTTGCGATGGAGCTTTGCTTAAGACATTTGCACAAAATTTGCAGCCCATAACAGAAGAAAGACATTTGTACCAAATAATTAATTTATGCAGCTTTAGGGGTTGGTTGATATAATAAGTATGCAGGGAGCTAACTCCAAAGTTGGCGCCCCATGTTCATCAAAGGCGCGGGACCTTATTAATTGGATGGGTCACGGAAATGAGTAAAGGTAAATTTATTGATTTCGAATTTATGATTCACAAATGCTTTTGAGATACAGAAAAAGCAAAAGAAAAAAAAAGGACAATTGTCACTCTGATAATAAACGCCTTTAAATAATCGAAATATTTTGAAGGATAGGGTAGTGGTGGATGAAACAAGTTGTAAACTCAACGTTCTAAGTTCGAGCCTTGACGAAATCTTGTTACAAGAAAATTTGTTTTTGATTTAAGTTTTGGCACCTCCAAATGTAAAATCTTGATTCCCACTTATGACATGTATGATTGCGATTAATGACACCCACTTGTCGGCCAAACAAAAAATTGACACCTCATTAAGGGTTACTTTTAAACTAAACTTGTATTAGATGAAAGTGTGAGTCATGAAATTATCCTAATTACAATTTAGCATATTAATGTAGAGCACATGTGGGTCTATATATAATGAAAGCCAACTCAGAGGAGGGCAGGAATAGTGAATGAGCTAGGGAACGATGTGGTGGAACAATAAGATTCATGCAAGAGGGCTCATGAAGAGTTTGGTCTATTCAAGATTAATGGAGGCTCATTAAATTCAAACTCAATGCCGACGAGTCTAGCTCAGTTAAAAAAGTTATTGACTTGTATATCAATGGCCTCAGGTTCGAACTCTTATGGTACATTGGCAATGTGTGTGAGAAAACCCTCCCTTTCTTTTTCTAAACCCTCCCTTTCTTTTTCTAATTTTTGAACAAACAGAAAAAAAAAATTCGAAAATCAAACCCAATTAATAAGAAATAAAAAATTGAACACAAGTAACTTGTAAGTAGGTTTAGGATAATAAAACAGTAGCTGAGCTTCCATAATTGAATTTGGATATTGTTGGAAAAAAGAAGTGTCAATTTATACAACATTTGATTGAATATGAGAAAGACATATATCTATATATAAATATTGCAATCTCATATAAGTTAAGAATTATGTTACACCTTGTTCCAAATTTGGGTCATGATCTTGAGATGCCTAATTGGACAACCCACTAATTGAAATGGGCCACACATATGGTAAATAGAGGTCCATGCCTTTTATGATTCATTGTGAACCACATCACCATTTCCAAAGCTTACATGGGGATTCATTCTTTTCCCCTTTTGACCAGGGGCTATGCTAAATTCAAACCTCATATAAACCCTTTTCCAAAAAGGGAAGATAAAAAAATCCAATATGGATAAGGAGTTATAAATAATTATTACTTTATTAATATGCTATCATGTAATAAAATTGTTAGATTAGTAGTAAACACATTGTGACACAAATAAGTTTGTAAAATTGGCACCATATTTTAAAAAATGCCTATAATATGTTACTGTATGGAGTTTTTATTTATTTAGAATAACTAATTGGTTGGTTTTGCTTGCATTTTCGAACCTCTTTTAATTTTGAAAAGAAAAATACTAATACGTTATATCTTAAAATGTCCTTATCTTGAGTTAAACGAGATGTACATCAAATGACTCAATCAATTAACATATCATAAAATGAATCAAACATGTCGAGTCATAGTTGACTGGTACTCAACAAATCAAAATCCATTGACGCTTTTAACTACTACAAAAATTTGGACATTTTAAAAAACAACTAATAATCGAACCTAATATAATCATTAAAAATTGGACCAACCCAATAAGAAAAGGTTTTCAAAGTTATTAATAGGCCTATATTAATTTGGACCACCATATAAAAAGGAAAAAAAAAGGCCAACCCACAAAACTATGTCAAAGGCACATAATAATTTACAAAGCAAAAAAAGAAAAAAGAGAGATCCTAGAGACACAAAAATAATGTGTTACATTTTCTATCATAGAAAGTTAGCAAACAAATAATTTCCTATTAAAGATTAGAACCATCTAAAAAAAGGATATGTAAATAGGAAAGACTAATTTACTATTACTCCAAATTATTGAATAATATTTCTAAAAAATGAAATAACATTCTCTCCAATCCCACCTGGATTTGTGCTTACACAACAACACACCATAAATACTAATTTCCGCATGTCTCTCCTCAGCATCAAATATCGTTTTCGATTCTTATTTTATTGAAAGCGAAACTTCCAATCGCATTAATATAAATAAAATTATATACCATTCATCTACTACCTACACAACAAACTAATAATAATAATAATAATAATATTAAACCAAAAGGGGTGGTGCGGTTGGCAAACTGCCATCTTCAGCTAGCAAGTTACCTGATCTGTCAATAATAGGGGTTTGAAACTGTTGGAATTACTTTGTGGCCAGAGGCAAGCCGAACCTCAAGTAGGGATTAATTACACCATTCGAACATGGGACAACTCGTGATATTTAAAAAATAATAGTAATAATTATTATTATTAATCAAATGGTTGCAAAATGAACACACCGCCTAATTTGTCATACCAATAATTAATAATTAACCCAACCCATCCAAAAAATAAGAAAAAAGAGAGAAAGAAATTGATTAATTGTCCTAAAAAGAACAGTATATTATGGTTAGAAGCATATTTTTAGGCCTTTGACAATGGGGAAGGAAATAAAAAAGAAAGACGTTTGGTTTTTGGAAGTATAAATTTTTTATTTTATTTAACCTTGGATGGTACAAACAGGATCGTCAAACATTGGACGTGTCACAGAAATCAGGAGTGTGGGGACCACCCGCACAGAGGCAAAACCGTAATAAAATGAAAAACTAGTGGTAGAATCGTCATTTTGAAATTCCAATCCGACGAAAAGACAAGGGCAAACGAGGGTTTAATTAAATTACGTAAATGTACAACGGCCTTATCGGCAGGGCTGAATCTTCCCATTCCTAGGCAATTCCGTCACGTCACGACGAAATGGCGTAACGACGGAGGTAGGGGGAGAGGGACAGGACCAGTCAAGGGCAAATTAGTCATTTAAAAAAATAAGCAGCTGAGCTGGCAGTATGGCAAATAGGTATATATATATTTTTATTTTTTTTATTTTTAAAATTTCTGCTTCAATTGCAGCAACGTTCCCAAGGCAAAAGCCGGCTCATCAATACTCTTCTTCTTCAGTCTTCCACTTTTTTATTTTTCATTTTCATTTTTTAATTTATTTTTTGGGTTTTGTTTTTGTTTTTGGGTCTCTCTCTTTACTATCTATCGCTCTTCTCTCTCTCTCTCTCTCTCTCCTTTTCTCTGCTGTGCGCCTTGTGTTGGTTTGTAGGGATTCCCATTCCCACCTATTTTCCCAAACACAAAGCACTCAAAAGAGAGAGAGAGGTAGATAGTAAAGAGAAAACCAAAGACCCCCCAACAAAGACAAAAGAGAAACCCAAATACCAAAAACACACAAAAAGCAAAAGCGACACACAGAGATAGCTTCCGCTGGAAATGCTCACCGGATTTCATTTTCCGGCGAGTTCCTCTCCTCCGAGACAACCCTAATGCTGCCGGACTGACCCAAGAGCGAGACCAGAGAGTTAAGAGCTGTGTGCTGTGCCTGTGAGCTGTGTGACAGTTTGTGCTGTGGGCTGGGGTGTGTGTATATATGTGAGACGAAAATGCGTGAAGCACTGCTATGTGAATCGCCGAGCGACGTCGTTTCCCACACGAAGAAGAAGAAGTCGGGGGAGGAGGACCACAAGGGGGACAGAGAAACACCACAGCTGGTGGTGGCGCCGGCCGCAGTTGCTGGAATCGGGCGCAGCCGATCCCAGGCGGCGACGCGCCGAGTGACGCCAACGACTACGACGACGATAACGACCGTCGCGGCCTTTCCCGCGACGACGTCGTCCAGCGTTGAGAGGCATCTGCCGAACGGAGATCTCTACATCGGGAGCTTCTCCGGGTCGGTCCCAAACGGATCGGGCAAGTACCTCTGGACCGACGGGTGCATGTATGAAGGCGAGTGGCGGCGAGGGAAGGCCTCCGGCAAAGGCAAGTTCTCGTGGCCGTCGGGCGCGACGTACGAGGGCGAGTTCAAGTCGGGTCGGATGGAGGGTTCCGGGACGTTCATCGGATCCGATGGCGACACGTATCGGGGCTCCTGGTCGTCGGATCGGAAGCACGGGTTCGGGCAGAAACGGTACGCGAATGGCGACTTCTACGAGGGCTCTTGGAAACGAAACGTCCAAGACGGGCAAGGACGGTACGTTTGGGGTAACGGGAATGAGTATGTAGGGGAGTGGCGAAACGGCGTCATTTCGGGTCGCGGGGTGTTGATTTGGGCGAACGGGAACAAATACGACGGGCAATGGGAAAACGGCGTTCCGAAAGGTAACGGAATCTTCACTTGGCCGGACGGGAGCTGCTATGTGGGTACGTGGAACAAGGACCTGAAGGTTCATCAGCTCAACGGTACTTTTTATCCTGCTAATGGCGGGAAGGAGCAGAGCTTGACCGACATTGGGGCTTTTGGGGCTGAGAATCTGACGATTACGATGCGAAAACGCTCCGTTTCGTCGGTGGATGGGGCTAGAGGGAGCTTGGCGGAGAGGACTTTTCCCAGGATTTGTATCTGGGAGTCTGATGGGGAAGCTGGGGATATTACTTGTGATATTATCGATAATGTGGAGGCTTCCATGTTCTACAGAAACGGCACAGGTTTCGATCGAGATGGGTTTGGCAAGTTCCGGCGAAGTCCCTGTTGTTTTTCTGGCGAGCCCAAGAAGCCTGGCCAGACCATATCAAAAGGGCATAAGAACTACGATTTGATGCTCAATCTTCAACTGGGTATTAGGTACTTTTTCTGATTTTCCGATTTTACAAGTCGTGGAGTGATTTTTTGCTTATGGGTTTTCTTTATCAATGGAGGCTGGTGTTTGATGTTGTGGTGTTTTGGGTTTTTAGATACTCAATTGGGAAGCATGCTTCGATAGTGAGGGATCTTAAGTCCAGTGATTTCGATCCCAAAGAGAAGTTCTGGACCAGGTTTCCACCGGAAGGATCGAACAAAACGCCGCCCCATCAGTCGTTTGAGTTTCGGTGGAAGGACTATTGTCCTGTGGTGTTCAGGTATCTTGATGCTATTTAACTTCTAGTTCTATCTTTTGGTTGATTATTTCTTCTTGGCTGACCATTTTTTCTCTTATTAGAGGTTAATGTAATTAAAATACTATAATTAGAAGCTCTGCTAAACAAGCCACAACTGTTTGCTTCTTCTTCTTTGATTGTGAGTGTTGTTACTAAAAACTCAATTGGTTATTTCAGACATTTGAGGGAGCTATTCCAAGTAGATCCTGCAGATTATATGCTGGCTATTTGTGGAAATGATGCCCTTAGGGAGCTTTCTTCCCCAGGGAAGAGTGGAAGTTTCTTTTACCTGACTCAGGATGATAGATTTATGATAAAGACAGTCAAGAAATCAGAAGTCAAGGTTAGTTGCCCACCTGTTTGACTTATTTATTATCAGTATTTACTTTTTTGGAGACAAAAGGACATTTCTGTGGCATAATCAGCGCTTTGCCAAATTTTTTGTTCCGTAACTACCACTCTACTTTCTTAATTAGACAACATTTGGACTGAACTGATCTGATGGCTTGTATTTTGTTTTCAGGTGCTTATTAGGATGCTTCAGAGTTATTACAGACATGTTTCTCGGTATGAAAATTCTCTTGTGACAAAATTCTATGGTGTGCATTGTGTCAAACCTGTCGGCGGCCAGAAGGTACGAGTCAGAGAGACCAGTTTGCCTGGTTTAGAATCAATCAATTCCTGTGTTGAATGATGGATGTGTTTTTTAATATCTAACTAGTTGTTCTTTGATTGGAAATCAGACAAGGTTTATCGTGATGGGCAATTTGTTCTGCTCGGAGTACAGAATACATAGACGATTTGACCTAAAGGGATCATCCCATGGTCGAACAACTGATAAGCCTGAGGGTGAAATTGATGAAATCACAACTCTCAAGGACTTGGATCTTAATTTTGTGTTTCGCCTCCAAGGAAAATGGTTCCAAGACCTTATGAAGTAAGGCCCTAGAAGAAGCAACTTTATCCCCATTGATTGAATTCTATCTCTTTGGCTTGTTATTAACTAGTATGAACATTGGCAGGCAAATTGATCTAGATTGTCAATTTCTGGAAGCAGAGAGAATCATGGATTATAGTCTTTTGGTTGGTGTTCATTTTTATGATGGCAGCAATACATATGACAAAATGGGGCTGTCACCATTTATTTTGCGATCTGGTAATTGACAATGCCCTCCTCCCATCAGTGATTTGTAGGTTAATTTTTTTGTGGGTATATGAGAATGCTGAATTAAGTGTTTGTGTCCCTTGCAGGCCAAAAGGATTCATATCAGAATGAAAAGTTTATGCGTGGGTGTCGATTTCTTGAAGCGGAGCTACAAGACATGGATCGAGTTTTGTCTGGCCGGTATGTTTTGATTCTTCATTTCTTGTTTTCTTCAAGTTTAACCTATACAACCAAATCTTTCCAAGCAATTGATTTAACAAAGATTTCTGGAAAAGATAATGTGGTTGAGCTTTGTCAATGCAGTTTTGATGGCAATGGGTTGTCTAATAATTCTGCCATTGAATTCGTAGGGTATCCATTAGGTAGCAATTGCCTGTGGGTTCCTAGATAAGAATAAGGTTGCCTGGATTGTTTTGACTCAATAATTGGCTCATTTCCCAAATGAAATCAGTATCTCTAGCCAAGTCTCCCAATGGGAAAAAATAAGATTACTTTTAATACGAAAATTGAGGCATAGGAAAATTGACACAATACAGATGTGAATAGTGGGTGGGTTTTTGATGCAACGAGGATTCTTGAATGGCCTAATTTTGTTTCTAGTTTAGTGGGAAATGGATTTTACGTCTTTTAGTGTATGAATTATATGTTCTAAACTGATATGAAAAACATGTCCTCTATCAGGAAACCATTGATCTGTTTAGGAGCCAATATGCCTGCTAGGGCAGAGCGGATGACTCGAAAGAGTGACTTTGATCAGTACACCCCTGGTGGGTTCAGTCATTTGACCCCTTCACGCAGCGGTGAAATCTACGATGTAGTCCTCTATTTTGGGATAATTGACATTTTACAAGACTACGATATCAGCAAGAAGTTAGAGCATGCATATAAATCCTTGCAAGCTGACCCAAGTTCGATCTCAGCTGTTGATCCAAAGCTTTACTCGAAGAGGTTCAGGGATTTCATTGGAAGAATTTTCATAGAAGATAGGTAGTCTTCAAATGAGAAATTTCTGAATGGAAACCAGTACTGTTGGATTAAGAAGATTCAACATTTGATCCTCTTCTGAGGGAGAAGGCGCAAGCAGCTCCAATGGGGGTATGGAGCAAAAAGACTTGGGGTAAATTCAGAGACGGCACGACCGCAACTGTGGCGGAATGACGGAAGCTCTGTGGTTTGTTGTTGGGTGCTGCCCTATGGCTGAATTTTGAAAACACAGCCAAAGGTGTTTTGGTGTTGGGGGTGGTTTGGGTGCTTGTACATTCAAGGGAGAGGGAGGTTTGGGTTCTGATGTCTTTTCTTATTCTTTCCTTTTTTTTTTTTTTCCCCTTTAGGTGAAATTTTTGTGGTAATCAAGGAATGTGAAGATTTGAAAGATAGGTCTAGGGAACAGAGTTAAAATGTTTCCCAGAGAGAAGATTCAAAAAAAAAAAGGGGGAGGGGACTTGGAATAACAAAAAGTGTACAGGGTTTATAGAGAAAAAAAAAGGGGATGGATCATAGCTTATGCAATTGAATGAATTTTTATTGTGATATTTTGAAGACAATGTTTGAATCATCTATGCCACAATAGGCCCCACAGGAATCTCTCTCTCTCTCTCTCTCTCTCTCAGAGATGTATAAAAAACGGGGTTGCAATGTGGAGTAGAAATGGGGTCACTGCTTTGCTTTTTCAGTGAAAGGGAGAGCATTGGGCAGGAGGTATTAGGAATGCATGAAAAGCAGAGAAAGCAAGAGACAGATGCGCTGGCTCTTCTTGTTTTTGCCTACTTTGTTTACTGCCTTTCCTGCCCTTTTATTTACCACTGTTTCCTCAAGAAATGTTATTTTCACTTTTTTGGAATTTAATTCAAAACCTAAAATTATTCACATGTCAAAGCAAATGTGGGAAGTGGGAACAAAAACAACGACCCATTTGAAGTCATTGACCAAACCAAATGGTAAATGCATAAAATTTAAGAGGAGGCAGATACAAATGCAAATTACAAAATTAGGTCATTGGGAGTTGTGCAATTGTTTTTTCACTTTGCAGAGAAATAGGTCAAAGTTTTGTTGCAGATAGAGAAGAAGAGAGAGAAAGAAAGGGTCGAGTCGAGCCCTCATATATAGTAGGGTTTATGTGTCTCTTTTTTGACCAAGCCCTTTTTGGGACCAGCTAGAGTCTTATAGCTCAGACCCAAAGCAGGATCTACTGCTGTTAGCAATGGCCATGCCTTGGCCGCCATGGTCTATGGCTATGATGAATGATGATCTGCCTGCATATCCTATTTAAAATTGAAACTTCTATCTTTGCCTTTTTGCTTTGTTTTGGGTGTGACGTGATTTTTTAACCATTTGGTTTTGTGGGTTGTGGTGGGAAAGTCAGAGTGATGAGCTTTGATATATGTTTCAAACTTAAAGAAATTAGCCTGAAACCAACAACCCATACGGTTGAAGAAGCAATCATAACTACCTTTTTAAATGTATTGTAATGCTTGTTTGTTTACATCATTTTAAATCCATACAAAATCTTAACAAACTTATAAAAGGTAGTAGCTAGAGAGATGAAAAACCAAACACAACCTTCCTATAGACCTAATAATCAAAACAGAAAGGGACTAATAAGAAAGATGCACAAAAGATAGACAAACACAAAGGTTATTGAGAGGCTACATAATATTAATAGAGCATGTTTAATTTTGTTTGCGAATTTGCTTCGAACCGCTACACTAGTTGGTTATTTGTATAAAATAAAGACATCCTTTTTATCTTGTCAAAATTTCACCAACCACATTGACATTATGTTCTGGTATTAGCTCAACAAAATGACACATTATTAGAAAGCATTTGAACCCCTTCTTCTTTTTCAGTCAACTTATATATATAATAAAGGTCAAGTTGACTGGTGTGCATCTAGAATCAAATCAAATGGGTAATTAACCAAGTAGGAGTGCTGCTGCAACTTGGTTTAGTTTCTCCCTTTCTCTGCGCAGTTGAAAAGAAACACTATTCTATTTTCTCACCAGTTTTCTTGACATCCAAACAGTATTTGAAACAGAAAAAGAGGCAGAGAGTAGGAGAGAACAGAAAAGAAACCAAATAAGTTGCATGCACAGTTATCAAAGACTGACGTGTGGGTGAGACTTGAGAGGGCTGAGTGGCTAGCTACATGGGCTAAGGTGGGCATTACAATTTGCATGCCTAAAAAGCATAAGAGAAAAGAAAAAAAAAAACGTTTTATTTTTGTTCAAAGAGGGTACGGAGATTTCATCTGTCAAATGGAGATCTGTTCTTCTACACTTGCTCTGTTTTTCGTGGGTTTATTATGTTGCGACCAATAAAGGCTTGGAATAAAAGATAATTTATTAGAATTGTACTCTTGTGTTGTGTTGTGTTGTGGGTAATTCAGACAAAGTCACCGCCCACAGGAGCATTGCAGACATATATTTATGTTAACTAGCCTCATTCTACAGTCTACACTCCATAGACCTCATATATATGCTGCAGGATTTCCATTCAAACACAAAAGTTCTAACTTCTAATACTATAAATATTGGAGATGTAAATACATCGACAAAAGGGGTAAACAATTTGACCATTTGAGGGTTTCTTTTCTAGAGGTCCGAAAAACTTCCTTGTTGCGGGTGCAATAATTCGTTGTCTCTGTATATCTCATTACGTGATTGAATGTGCGAATTCTAGGTGTTTTGTACAATGAGAAGATTTAATATAATGATCATCTTTACTTGTAGTGGCACCACTTACTTACGCAACGTTTATTTTATTTTGTCAAATTTTCAAAGTTTCCGAAGTGTGAGAGTTTACGCTCTTCAAACATAGTGAAGATTAACTTTAATTTCTCTCATCTCCTAGCAACTGGGAGTTATGAGAGCAGGCCCTCATGCAGTTCCAATTCCAATAGCATCTTTTTTTATACAATTTAATGAATTGAATTTTTCTTTGGAGACCCTGTCTCACTCCTGATAAGCAAAAACAAAAACATAATAAACAGTGTGCCCCAAAGACTTGGTGGCCTCTAATTCTTAATTTCCAAAATGGTGATGGGTGCGGCCATTTGTCGGGTAAAGGCCACAGTCATTACCCAACATTAGGGTGAGGCCTATTAGGAGGGAGACAGCTCCATCTCCATAATTAAATACTTTTTGTGATGTAATTATTGTTTCATCCACCCCCACGAAGATATTGTGCCATTATATGCAAAATTTGAAAAGCAAGTTGACCTCTTCATCATGGTGTCTGTCTTAAGTCTGGTTTTCCAGACGTTTTATAATCCTTGTAGGGTGTGGCTTGGCTCTACACAGTTAATGGCTTGGTTGGTGGCATTATTTTTCTCACAATTATTTCACAACATCGAAGGTTGGATGGTAATAGAAAGAGTACGAGACGAATTGTTAATTCGAATATTAAGTATCAATTTGCATTATTTGTAAGAATGATTACGATTTACTTGAAACATGTGGTTTGCGAGTGATTGAAAACATTATCCGGCCTAATTAGGTCAAATTAATCATATTTATTTGTGAGCGGCAGAAAAGTTTGATTTGGATTGGATTGCAACCTTTCTATTTCCAAGCATAATGGATTGTGTGTGTGTGTGAGAGAGAGAAGCTCATTAACCCTAATTAAGTCTCAAATCAAAGATTATGACTGAAGCGTGTAGATCAAAGTGAAATAATAATGTCACACACCAACATCCTCTCGACGTGCTTTGCACCTTTAATTCCAGCCACTTAGTTGCGATGACAATAATTGAATTAAAAGTTAATTAAACACAGGAAAATAAAAACGTGATTAGCACAATCTGATCATGAAAAGTCATGCAATGACTTGCAACATTTTATTAAGTTTAATTAGCCCCACGTAGGCCTAATTTTAATTAATTACTATAATACAATCCATTGAAAAAGTTGAGAATTGAGAAGCTTATCCTAACATTTCGGAAAAATTAATTAATTTGTTTAGAAAAATAAATATATAAAAATGTGACACGTGGCCTCTTTAAGTGTTTTAATTAGGGAAATAGGTGTACGAGTTTGAAATGATATTTAAGAAGCTGCTTATTGTGGTCTGGGAAAGGTCCATTTCATTCCCAACATAAGGTTCCTCTTCAGGGGGACACTCCCTCTACTTCCATCTTCCTTTTCTTTTCTTTTATTTATTTTTCTCTATTTTCTTTGTTTTCATATTGTGTACTTTTAATTATTTTTCCGTTTGTCATTCCCTATATATCATTTTCAGGATGAAAAGAGACCTTAAAACACATTATTCCCTTATAAAACCAACAAATAAAACAAATTTGCATCTGAATGAGAGAACATTTTTAGACAGTTTGTGCTAATGAATCAACAAAATGGTTTACTTTATGACAATTTTGCCTAATTGCATTGCGGCTTGTTCATTGATTCTTCCTCCCTAAAGCAATATCCTTTTCATTATTTTGTTCAAATATTTAAGGCTATAACCTTTTTTTGTTTTTATTTTTGTTTTTAGTACAAGCGATAATTTGAGAAAACATTTGTGAATGGAATTTGTATTGAATTTTATGTGGTTGATAAATGAACTAGTGTTCAGTTTTATGGGACCTCTCTATGTCCAAGTCACAGTTACTATCAATCAATTATATACAAGGTTGTGGATGTATTCGGGGCCTTCTTCATAATATTTTGTCGCCTAATTTAAGGCCTACTTAGATTTGGCATCTCAGTCCATTATGTTCCCTTCTCCATCTGCAAGCTCATTTTTCTGCAGATATGGGACCATGAGTTTATAGGGTCAGGAATATACTTCAAGGCTTGATTAGTATTTTTCAGCTGAACTCTTTTGTATTTCTTATTATTTCTTTCTCAAAGAAAGATAGAGACACCAACTTTGATGTAAAAAAGTTTTATACTTGCAACTTTGCAAGAGAGAGAGAGAGAGAGAGAGAGAGAGAGAGAGAGAGGTACTCATTACCTACCTGGGCAAAGGTATTAAGGTTTGATAACTTGCTTGCTTTATTTTACCTAATGTTAGTTAAGTATAGTTTAAAACTTAAAAGTGATGGGGTAACTTGTATTATATTATCTACTAAGATTTTCCAGACAGAGGCTGTGAACCTGAGATCTAACTTTACAGTTTGTTCGAGTTTTTCTATTTAAAAAAAAGGACTCAAGAATTAATTCAATAAAGTTTGTTGGGGGTTCTGGCTCTTAAACTTCTTTCACTCACTTTATAATGTCATACTAGACAGCTGATTAGTTACTTAAGTACTTTACTATTTTCCTTTTTCATCTACTTTTAGAGCAAAGTAATCAAGCCTTAGAAATGGTTGTGTTCTTTCACTATTTTTCATACAATCATCAAGATAAGAAGTAAGAATACAACTTCTTCAGCTTGCTTTTTTGTTGGTCATAATGTTCTTCTACCTTTTTACGTATATATAGCTTTCAGCGGTAGAGCACTTGCCATGCCAAGGGAAATTGAGCCAAGCCGTTTTTTCTTTTTTCTTTTTTGTGGTTGCCACAGGAGAAGTCCAACATTATTTGCCTTCCATATATGACTTGCTTGAACCATGAGAAATGCTCACAGCCAGCCTGGATATTGGATATGGCAATCA